AAACAATGCGCTGTCACTTTAATTCAGCGCTTGCAGCACAGCAATAGACTGAATGCGCTGAATGATTAAACACAGGCAAGAATTAAAAAGTGATGCAATTTATAAACTTTAGTGACGATGTGACACTGCCTCGATTGTGCAAGTGACAATTCCTGTGTCGACTGTGCAGCGTGCAGCTCGCTTATAGACAGACGCGATGTGATTTTGAAGCCATTTGCGCATTTTGAGAGAGAAAGTGTTCACAAGTGTTCACATTACTTTATACGTTATTCAATGAAGAAATATGAATTGTACCTTGCCTTTAGCATTATAATTATTTTACCTGCGCCGGACAGAGATTGAGATGGTGCCGCTGCAGTAGCTAAACTCTAGACGTTGCTGATTTGAATGTGAGAACTTAACTTTAATATTCGTATTTGTAAGTTGAAATGTACTCACAACAGCTCTGATGTGAAAAGTTAAATCTTTCGATTTGCGCACACAGTCAATAATCAAAACATCTGTGTTTTGAATTCGAAGTTGCAAATGAATAGTTACAAATGTGTAAAGTGGCTTTCACATAAAATGAGACACAAATGTGTACGAAACATTTACTTTTGCACTTTACTTTAGTGTCTCACACAAGGTTTTCAAATTACTTTATAAGTTATTAAATGAAGAAATATGAGTACCTCACCTTCAGCATTGTAATTATTTCACCCGCCCCGGTGTTCTGACGATTTGTGCTACCCGCTCAGATTGTGCTACCATCATCTTATTCATGTAGTTTGAGGCTTTTTAAAATGTCCATAACTACCCCTACCCGAAACCTACCCTACCCACCCATGTCTACCCTTACCCTAAACTTACCCTTAAAACAATGCAAATATATTTTTGGTAGCACAATCTGATAGGTAGCATGTTTCGTCAGTACACCGGACAGAGACTGAGACGCTGCCGCTGCATGTCATGCCAAACCTCTCACGGCAGCGTCATCAGCTTGAGATCGGTTTTTGGAGATCGGCCTTTTTAGAGACCACCGATCAATCATCCCAACGTGATTATTGGCCGATAGTGATCAGTAGCCGATCAATCGGTGCACCCCTACCAAAAAGCAAATTATGCTCCCTTCGAACTGGTTTTCTTTACAATACAAATCGTTGTAATCCCAGGCTATCTGTAATCAGAAGCACATTTATAACTGGAATATAATTTAATTTCATTCACGTGTTTCATAAACACATAATCCTTTATGGATTACAATCCGCCATCAAAATGATACATTTAATAATTCTGGCTGCTGTGAGAAGAGGCTATAAACGATCCGCCACCTGCAGCATCCTCACATGCGATAGCCTAGTAGCCGGGACAACTTCTTTATGTTTACAGACGTGACGTAATGACGCAGTGCCATGCACGAATTTCCCACGAAAACCTACCCGTACCACTCAAATTAGAAAGCATTATTATAAGCTAACCGTTGTGAATCGGGTTAAAGTAAGGCGATAGTTTTAAACACTGGCTGGTTATGTACTTGCTCAAATATTGATTTCGGATCATTTTTAACCAAAAAAAAGTTACGGACTGCAGCTTTAAAGATCTAATAAAATATAACTCAAATCAATATTTTGTGTCTAATTATTTACTTATGTGGCAAGCCGTGTAATAAGCAGCATAATATACATCCAGCAAGTTGTTACTGCAAACTTAAGCAATAGTCAGATAGCTTTTTAGACACTCTTGTAGCAAATCTACATTATACAAATATTAGATGGAAAAACAAACTTGCCTTTGGCAACTAACTGAAACTGAAGTTGAAGTTTACTTCAAAAAATATATTAAAGTTAAATAGAAAAAGAATAGAAAATATGGTAAAAGCGGCTAAAACTAAAATTAAAATGAAAAAAAAAATTAAAGCTAGTTTGAAATATCAATTAACACTATAATAGTATATAAATAATACTAAAATAACACTGCTACTATGTAATGCCCGCTTTTCACCATCCACTTCTCAAAGGATATAATCAACCCAGCTGAAAACAACATCTTAAACCTGATTTGCTGATCTCAGCTGCCCTCTCAGACTAGTCAGGCTGTTTTAAAGGGGCTTGAAGTACTTTTCTGCTGCTAAACACCAGTTTGGCCAGGCTAGCAATCCAGCTAGACTATCTAAAACCAACTTACACAAGCTAAGAACAGCAAACCAGACTGGTTCTGGTTTTGTCAGCAGGGAAGACTCACTCACTTTTTTTTTTCTTGTCAAATATCTTTTAATTAAGATACATTAAGACAATCAAGACAAACCTCCTTATTCCTCACTGTAACCAACAGATACACCCTCACAATATGAGAGAAGACTCGAGAGAGAAGAAAAAGTGTAGAGCAAATGACCTGACTGACTGACTAACTGTTTCTAAATCCAGCTCTCCTTGCCAGCAGACATCACAGGAAGTCAGCATCACTGCCTCTTGCTCATGGTCATGCAGAGCAAGCTGTGAAAGCCTTCTCAGTGCGTGTGCAGAACACAACCAAAAGGGATAAATTAGTGTGACATGCAGAACGAAGCTTCTAACAGCACAGGGCAAAGGCGAACACTCTTACAGTATAATAGGGGTGATGGTGAGAAACTTTCGAGAGGCGGTGAACTGGACCCCATAGTCCATCTGTTCCCAGTGGGTCAGAAGCCGGGCCTTGCCTTGGTCTGGAGTCTCAAACGGCGTTCCTTTTACCGTGTGTAGGAAGATATACATGCACTATGGCAGAAAGACAGTCACAGAACATCATGGCCTTTGGTACAATTCATCAAAGCTCTATCAGCAGATGTTGTGAAACTCTTAGGACAACAGCAAGAGCTGATCTGTTTTGGGAGCAGGACGGCTAAGAAAGGCGATACAGAATGGCTCTGTTAGTTCAACACTGGCTGAAATTACAGAACCTGGAGTCAGCAACAGAACGGGCCAAAATTCAGCAAGAAAAAATTTTGCCGTTTCAGAGTTTCTGCAGCTGGGGACTGTCACAAAACAAATTATTATTTTAAGCCTCTGCATCTTAAGAAGCTCTTAAGAAAGCATCTGTGCTACATTTACACTATGAAACTAACGCAATGGTTTTCTCTTGGCAGACTGTTAGCCAAAATGAATTGCAGATCTGTTATGGGTTGTGACAACAGGAAATAACAATGCTACTGTTTATACTGTAGTTAAGGCCTGTTCACACCTGTCCATTTTAGCATTCACATCAATGCATGATAATGTTATATTTATTATTTAGTTATGTTGCCTGCAACTTCGAATGCTCAAGCTCTTAAAAGTCAAGTGGATTCTGACTAGCTGTCAATGTTTTTATCACTCAATGAAATGAACGTGATTCCAAATATATTGTTCCTGTCATTATCATTATCGCTTTGGACTTCTATTCTCACAGAATTAAAAAGTTTATTAAAACTGTATAGTTATCAGAGTCTACAGGCCTTTACAATAGTAAAAATATATAGCAATAACCAACTTGTAAACAGGAGGACAAATGCTTCACATATCTTTTGTTGGATGTACACAGCAAAAAAATGTAGAAATTCAACGGTCACTTGGACGCTTTCCTAATCAGATGGATGGTGAACTATAAACAAGCTACAAAAACGTTTTTAAAAAAAGATACAACACAGACTATATTAAACTATAATATAAAATAGTATTAAAAACATATAGCTACAAAAGTATATACAAACTATACAAAAATAAGTTCAGTTGCAGTGAGGACAAACACAGTTTGAGCACAATTTGTTCTGTATAATAAATTACTGCATTAAACCATTGACATTTACCAGTTCAGTCAATATGCCATGTTAATAATTTTGCATATTTTGGGCCTATGAAGTTCATAGTCTTTTAAAATACATTTCAGAGCTTGATTTAAGGGTAATTTTGGTACCTTTTTTAATTATACACAATTTTGGTACCGTGTTGTTTTAGCAAAAAACAACCTCTAACCTAAAAACGTAATACGGTGACCTATGTTAAAGGGGTCATATGATGCGATTTCAAGTTTTCCTTTCTCTTTGGAGCGTTACAAGCTGATTGTGCATAGATAAGATCCCTGAAGTTGCAAAGACTAAAGTCTCAAAACCAAAGAGATATTCTTTATCAAAGTTAAGACTCTGCCACGCCCCCCTAAAACGGCTCGTTCTAACACGCCCCCACATATCTACCTCACTATGTGGCAATATTAGCATAATGCCGCCCAAATGTGCACGAAAAGAAAGAAGGCGTGGTTTCAGTAACCGCAGTTAGTGTTGAAGCAGCCATGTCAGGGAGACGCTGTGTGTTTCTAGGCGAAAGCAAAAGCACTTTATTTGGCCTTCCGAAAGTAGATGCATTTAGGAATCTTTAAGATTAGCTACTTACAACAGAACAGCAATGCATTTTATGGACGACCGTTTCGTGAACCTAGGAGAGGAGGTAATTCTGACTTTGCTATGACAATCTGGCGCTTCTGAATCAGCCACTGTAAGTATGTTTTGTTACTAGTTTAAGGATTTGCTATTGACTGTTCAAATGCGAAGTTTTG